GAGCCATTTTTGCGAGTATTTTTCTTTCTTTGATTGGTCCAGGGTTTGCGCCCGACTAAACAATCGTTATAAGCCACCCGCCCGCCATCTTGAAAGCGGAGATGATCCTGGGGACGAGTATAAACGGTACAACCTCCCTCCCAGGGTGCTCTCTCTTTCCCTGGGAAATTAATTTTAAATTTAGCAACAAAAGGCTCAAAATTGAAATATTTATATGGTTAAAGATAACTAAGATAGACTACACTTTAGGTGGCACACTCATGGGTGCAGTGTAGCCCAGTGTTGCTCATGACGGATGTTTTTCTGTCTCTCTGCGATCGAGATTGCATTACCTGTGACAGTGCTGAATAACTTATTCACAGGCGCTAAGTTTTGGCGGATTGCTCGTGGACATTAAATTAAGAGCCCACAGAAAGCTTGTATTAGATAATAAATCCGGTTAGGTTTTCCCGTCTTACTGTAACATCACGAGGCAAAGAATTGTGACGAGAAAAGCGAACAAAAAACGTTATGTCTTCACAAATGGTTTCACAACATGGGGTGTAATCAAGCTGTCAAGGAAACCCTCCTGACAAGTCCAAGCTCCAGACCATAAAATTTCCCTAGCAGAATCGGTTACATTTACTCACTTTTATGTTTTGCCGACGGATAATATCGGCAAGCAACAGTAGTCATCCTGGTTCCACTTCATAGGTTTCGTAAGTTTTTACGTAAGAAGTAATCGGTAACGGCCAGGACAACTGATTGGAAAACAAACCTTGGGGAGTCTGAAGGAACACCTGGTTGCGATTTCCGGTGTCGGTGATTAACTCCTTTGTACGGAAGCAGATAAAGTCGATGTTAGCGCTTTCCCATATTGGAAGAACAGCAGTGTTTTTGCTCGATTGATCGATTATGAGCCTTCTGTGGGTTCTTATAATGTCCACGGTCGTAATTCGATTTAGTTTTCGTAACCGTCTACTTCTTCGTCGCACGGAGCGCGATATATCCAATATTTCTCCTCAACACAACAARGATCATTCATAGACCCCTCATTGGAAGAAACAGAATCATTACTGTCGTTGAAAATAAAGAACAGCGACGATTTTCGAGCAAGATCGCCACTGAGCTTACTATTTACTTCGACAGAGCTTCGATGAAAGGAATAATATGATGTCACAATGGGGAAAGACGCTGAAAATTATCGTTGGCTCAGTAGTTGTAGTTTGAGCAATGGCGGACGAAATTTAGTGAGTTTTAATCAAAATTTTTTCGGACTTTTTTCTTGCCGCGATAGGTCTGAATTGTATTTTTTCTTTTTGTTTAAGATCTAAACTCAAATTTTCGGCATAAAAAATTTGTTTTGAGAAACATTAATTTTCGTCTAAGTAGCACTTTAAAGGATAGAAATGATATTTCTGCAAGTTGAGAAGTTTTGTTCGTACCATGTGATCATATTTTGGTGCAAAAACGCCTGCATCTAATACCTCGATTGACAGGAAAATTATCATTCGACCAAAAAAGTCTCCATCGACAAAGAAAATTCTCGATCGACAGAACAACTCTCATCTGGTAGAAATATTAGGGACCTTAAGCAGTTAGGACGACAACGCCAAGGACTGACGTCGATTAAAAAATGAATTTCTACTTTTAAACAGAATTTCGAAAATGGCTGCACGTATTTACCATCTCATACGGCACCACAACTTAACCTCAACATAACGTATAAAAGTAGCGTTGAGTTCTAAATGGAAATTAAAATAATTTGCCGTCACGGTCTCGGTTCAAAGACGCCGCAAAGTTTGGTGATTTCACATTGTTGTTTTGCAAAGGACGGCTAAGAAATGTACTAAGTTTTAAAATACACGTGCTGAGCTATTGTTCTGCTNGGCAACCTCGTTCCCAGGGTCTTGTGGGTAATTTCCAAGATGGCGGGTCGACCCTTATTGACCCTCAATAAATATGGTCTGCCATCCACCCCCCCTTTTGAAATCCTGGATCCGCCCCTGATATTTGTATTCATGAAGAAGAGCACTCTAACTGATGAGGTTTAAGATTTCAGTTAGTTATAGAATTCCTTATTATTAAGCTTACTTTATGGGTAGGAGCGAGGGCTCATTTCCAGAACAGCGTTCGATACTCGATCGAGCCCACGAATATTACCAAGCGATAAGAGATCATAACCCAGTTAATGACCTCTTGCTAGCGACTATGAACAATTAACTAGCATATTTAATCATAGGTGGGATTTTATGACTACCGACAAAGATCGAAGATTCTAACCAAACAGTTTCTTTCGAAACTATCAGCCTTTATCGAAGATTCTAACCGACTACCGACGAAGATCGAAGATTTTAACCGGCTACCAACAATGTAATGAAATTCTAACCGAAGACCGACATGAGGACCTGAGGGTCTGAATAGAGAAACCAAAATGAGTCCAATATTCAAACTCCAACTCAAAGTTATTAATTCAACGAGCCAAAATATTCTCACCCAGGTGAACAGTAGAAGCCTTATTTATTTATCTGCTCAGTTTGCCAGGCCTTCTAAGGCACAAGAAACGAATTCACTATGATGATTCGATTTCTTTGCTTTAAAGGTTCTGGTCGATTTGTATGTCTGCTGAGTGTATTCCATCGAATTTTCGGTGTTAATGAACGAGAATAAAAATAGCAATGTTTCCCGTAACATGTAACACCACCGTCTGCGTCAGGGAAGGGTGTGCGCGTGACAGCATAACGCATACAAACAATCATTCCAGAGTTATTTTTATTATCGGGGTGTATAGAAGGTGACTATATCTCTGGTCTCACGCTAAAGAGGTCGTATGAGTGCGACCGGTGAAACAAAGCCATTGTTTTGAGCACTGAACCTGTTCCCGCATTTTCAGATGATAATGCAACGGACACACACGATTAGTTGGCTGTGCACACTCCTCTATTGCTGCGTACCAGTTGTGACTTCTGCGATCGTCAACACGACCTATGGTCTCGTCAATGGATCTGTGATATCACTGAAAACGAACAAGACTGTTATAAAGTACTTAGGTATTCCATATGCCAGGGCCGAACGTTTTGAATATCCAGTGCCACCGGAGAGATGGACCTCTATCCTTCAAGCGAACAAGATCGACAAGATTTGCCCGCAACCAAATCTGCCACCGAATAAACAATCTCTCGCCGATGAGAATTGCCTTTTTCTCAATGTATACGTCCCTGCTAACAAATCGCAAAATTCTTCCCTCTCTGTGATGTTTTGGATCCATGGAGGCGCCTTCTCTTTGGGTGATACACTTGGTTACGACGGCAGCGTTTTAGCCACGGAAGGTAACGTGATCATAGTCACGGTCGGCTATCGTTTAGGTGTTTTAGGATTTTTGAGCGCAAACAATGACAGTCTGAAAGGTAACTTTGGTTTAATGGACCAGCTGGAGGCCTTGAAATGGGTTAACCAAAATATTGCAAGGTAGGAATGTGATATTTTTCGTTTATTTGTTTTACTTTATATTGGTGGGTCTAGAATTATGCAAATTATATACCGTTTGGGCGCGCCAAAATCCTACTTATCCTTGTGATCAGCGGCAGGAAACTACGAAATGCTGGGCAAGACGTGAGAAATTTTGACCTATATCACAACGAAACTTTAATAATAGTAATTCTAATACTGTTGTGATAATATCCCGAATACTGTTGTGATAATTAAATGAATTTAATTTGCATGTGAATAAAAAATTATTATCTTATGAAAGGATGAGCACCAGGACTCGTTTTGAAAATGAGGCCAAGGGTAATTCGGAAATGGGCTATTTCCAAGATACGACTTTTCGGAATCAATATGAATCAATTCATTGTCATTTTATGATCTAAGTAGTAATTGGAAGGGGTGATGTGCTTTCGTGATCTACCATGTGATCAGTGATATGACTGCGTACAGTTTTTAATTTGTTTTCAGGCCTCCATCGGGCATGTAGACTTTCGGCATTTACGACTCTTCGAAATTCGGCGATTAAAGTAATTGTCCTTTCGATAGCAGAATTGAACAGCTTCGAAGACTTAAGAAGACAATTCTAAGTTGATTGCCAACTTGAACTATATCACATTCGCAACAACGAAGCACAATCCAAAAGTGCAAAGAACCCGGCTTATGAAGAAAGGATATTTTACTTGCAAGGTAAGGGACTGAGAGGGAGGGAATGAGCAAGGAGGTTGTAATTGTTTACCACCACCATTGTGGTTCCCTACTTTCTTGCGGGTAGGGGTATTTTTTTAAGAACTGTGCAGTTCAAACTGATTACAGAAAATTGAAAAGATAGCTTGTGTGAGTTAACATCCGACCACAATCACATGAGCTGGTGAGCTAAACCTCAATAGCCTCAATTTCTGGCAGACATACCTGAGCAGGAATATGTTTGGTCAATTAGGTTTGGAGGAAATCCCAGCAAAGTTACTTTATTTGGTGGTTCAGCCGGAGGAGTATGTGTGTCGTTGTTAATGTTATCGCCAATGGCTCATGGTCTGTACCAAAACGTCATCATGCAGAGTGGAAACCCCGCATCTCTCTCATCGGCGATGGAAAAAAACGAGGCTTACCAAAGAGCAAGGTATTTACAACTGTTATAGTTAAAGGTTTGAGCTAAGAGTAACTCTTGTACCAGTAATAACCGCTGAACCACCACTGACTTGATCGTGTAACAGGATTTCCGAGTGTCTTCGGCACCGGTGAATGACGTTCCGCGTACCCTTATGGAGGTCTTCGATTTACTTTAATAAAATGACACATGAGCCACCACCCCAAGGGAGTTATGAGTTTAGTTAATATATGGAGATACTCAACTGAATGACACCCCCCCTTCCTCCCTCCCCCCCCTGCGCTCTCAATTTCCTATGAGATGTTCGAATGCGACCCCCCATCCCCTCCCTTCCAGTTGAAAGGTCATGCCCACACTTCAGTAAAACACCAAGTGCATAAATAACGTGCATGTATTCCTTTTACTCTTATAGGAGCTTCGCTAATGCGGTTGGCTGTGAAATGGATTCTCTAAAATTATGTGCGATGAAGAAAAGTGTTCAACAATTGTTGGATGCCCAAATAAAAGTGTTTTCAAACCCAATTCTTTTACCTTTCGGACCGGTCGTGGATGGATTTCTCTTACCAGGTATGTGAGGTTGGTGCTGGTGCTAACGTCGAGTTCGACTGCTCCCATAGGCAAAACACTTTTTGAAAAGTCTATACAATTCATATCGCAGGCGATATCTAAACGACGTTCTCCAAGTTGTAAAATAACTAAGTCTAGATAATAAATTATGTTGTTAACCATGCACAGATTTACCGGCCAAATTGCTTCAAGCCGGCAAGTTTAATAGGACTAATATCATTGCTGGAGTGGCCCGGGATGATGGCTCCATTTTTATCACTGGTGCGCCTGGTAGGTCCAAGTGTCTTCAAACTTTCAATCCTAATTTGATATTACATTTAGTTTTTGGTATCTCCTTCTTCCTGGCCGTTCTAGTTATAAAGAAGGCTGAAAAAGGTATGTTTGTTTTATAGCACCTGTTAATGTAGGCTCGGTAATCAGACTACCCCTTTATCGAAGGGAATTGTGCCTTCATTTCTAACGGCAGAGTTCATCCCAGTTACTGTTCTTATCTGAAAAAAATAGCTCAGTTAACAAAATGAACAAAGTAGTCAGGCTCAGTTCTGTTTTTCGGCATCCGGCCGGACTAGGATGTTTATGTGGGAGAAAATTTCGGGCCTGTAATTCGTTTATTCGTTTATTTATATCTTCATGTTATGTATTTTTATTTCACCATTTTTTCGACAATGGAACCAATTTTGAGGTGAGAGTCCAGTTATCGAGCCAGCCTGCTTTAATAACAGTGATAACCATATGTAGTAGTTTAGTCATTCCGCTGTGTCTTAAAGATGCTTACCTACTTGTAATTTGACTATTGTAGGCTACATGCGACTTTAATAAGTCGATAGTAAGCACACTTATGGCTATGAAAAAAAAGCTGACAAACAAAGAAACAAAAAAATTTAACAAAATAAATAAGCATATAAAAAGGGTCGACAATTCTCGCCCTCTTGTAGTGCCCGATTGCATTACAGCTTATTTGCAGCTTTTTTTTCTTCACGTTTTATTTATTTCAAGGTGTTCTGAAAGGGCTTGAAGTTCCGAACGGGATGTCAAAAACTCTCTTTGAAGAAACGATTCGCAACCGGACTTGGGTTCGTAATCAAAACTCCCAAATCCTGGATTTACTTATCTACCAGTACACTGATTGGTCGAACGCCACTGATCCTCATGTGATCCGACAGCAGTTCATCGACATGAATTCCGACGCAACATTTAAAGCTCCGCTAATAACAGCAGTCAAGGCATTTACAAAGAAACAGGCTCCCACCTACTTTTATCAACTTGAAAAAGTACCAAAAACATTTCCTGCCATCCCGTTTCCGCTTCCCGCATGGCTTGGGGTGTATCATCGCGCCGACGTCTTATATACGTTTGGAAAGCCCCTTGTTATGGCCAAGAATCTTACATCTCCTTACGACATTCAACTGAGTAAAGAGATCATGACCTTTTGGACTAATTTTGCAAAAACAGGGTAAGTCAAGAACAAGTCAAAAGACCGCATTTTAGAGCTGGGGGCGAGGTTTGCGAGGAAGTATTACCAGAGGTTGGACATTTTATTTTTATTAACCATAGACCACATAAGGATGGAGTCAGAAAAGTAAATTATACACCTGACCCCAGTTGTTGGTAGGGTGGTAACTCTCTCCACTGGGTAAATCCCCACGCGGTGGATAACACAGTAAGTTTTGATGACACCTGCCCACTGGATAGCGATTTATCCGTTGGATAGCCGGCGTTATCCGCCCTCTGAACTTCTGGGCCCTGTATAATACCTAATTTATTTTGCTTCCAAACAGTTATACAAACAGTATTTTTTTGTAGTTTTCGTACATCAGCGTGCGCACAGAAAAAACAAAAGAAAAATGAAAAAAGGACCGATCATTCGGCCTCCAAGTAACTAGTCTGTAAGGAGCAAAGGTTGCTACCTTGTATTGTTTTTGTTTTCCAGTTTGCTAGCTTGCACTGATCTTTAAAGTGATTGACCTAACCAATTTCAAAATATTTCAACTGCACTGAGTTATGTATATGAATTGGTAAATATTAGTCGAAATTTAGGGAAAATAATTGACACTCCCACCACTGTTTACTGTGTTTCTTTTTTCGTGGAGAAGTATTTCACTCCAACTAAATGCGCTCCCCCCAAAAATCCTTTTTTTCTCTAATAATACTGCTTAACATGCTAGGAACCCTAATCAGCCAACGCCATTAGCAGAAACGTGGCCCCAGTTTACAACAGACGAAGAACACTATCTGGGACTAGGTTTTTCTTTGACACTGCGGTCCAAACTACGTCCAAAGGAAATGGCGTTATGGAATGAGCTTCTACCAAGTCTTCAAGTAACAGTTAAGCCTACCACGGCTAGTCACATGCCGACAATTCCTGAAAAACAGAAAGACGAGAAAGGTGTGTGACAAACAGCATCCAATAATATTTTGAGATCAATGTCATTCATGTCAGAGCAGAATATCACATGTATCTCAGTGCAAAGAGAGCAACGTTTCTACATTGAATATCTCGTAACAAGAATCTAATCGATGAGAAGTCATACCAACTAGACAAACAAAATGCCAACAACAATTTCAATTTTGACCTCACAGATCACGCGAGTTTTGATTCACCTTTATTTTTAATAACTGGAAGATGGCAACTTCGTCCTTAGGGTCCCTCTTCCTACCGCACTGAAACCGGGACGAAGAGAGACCCTGGGAACAAAGTTGGGTAGATGCAGAATGGCAGTGCGCACATCTGGCTCAGGAGCGCAAGATCCGGGCTCAAGGCCGCGGTTAGAGTCACTGGGATGTGCTCTTGATCAATACCCTAAATCGTTAGAGCGTTTCTTTCTACCCAGGAGTATACATCGGTACCGAAAAATTGTTAGGGAATAATTCTGGGTTGGGTTACCTGTGATAAAAGAACACTCCGTGTGAAGCGAACTCCTCGGTTGATTTGGTTTAATCACAACGATGAAACAGATCTACAGGATAAATCACATAATCCAAACACTAAGTAATGCGAACTATTAAGCTAAACGAAACACAATATCATAGACTTACGATAATAAGTTCAATTCGCAAGATATTTGTTGATGCTCATGAGTTTTAGTGTCTGAAACGATCTGGCTGACTAGCACAGGTCAGCGGTCCTAACGAGTCCTCAGTATGTGGCCAGCGGTAGTCCCATAACCGTGCGCCAGGAGGAGCAATGCTCTAAATTGCTTTTGGTTCTGGCGGAGACCAGGAGGAGTTTCGAGAGAAATTGATCGAGAAATGATTGATTAGGCTCCTGAGAAAATGAACCTATTTTACCTTTAAATTCTAGATACGCTGCTGCTTGTACTGGCCGCCCTAACTGGAGTATTTGGTGCTGTAGCTGTGATTTTGTTTGTCATATTGGTGATCAGCTACAACAAGCGAAAAAGACGAGGACATGACTTTGAGGACCCATTAAATATGTAACTGACTTTCATAGCTAGCTTAGAGACTTAATACGCCATGATATTACACCTACAGCAATCCCTTAACTTGCACACTTCAAATTTCCAGACCAAGGATAATTCCGAGAGCTCCTCTCAGGGTAACGGGTCAATCCTGTAATATAACAAGCTCTAGGACCCTTCGCTGTGTAGGATCCCGGAAGACTCAAGAAATAACCAGGCCCTTGTCTTTGATTTCCTTACTTGGAAACCACTTGCGGAGTGTGTTGGTTCTTCGTAAAAAAAAAAAAAAAGGAAAAGAGAAAGAAGTTAGAGCGAAAAGCAAAGAGCATCAGCAGCATTATTGCTTGGAGATTAGACAAACTATCTTGATTATAAAAATAACATCAGAGCAAGAGATTATCCACCGCATATTCTCTTGCTTCCGAGGGATACCTTCAAAATAGACGTCTGGTCTAAACTAGGGTTTAAACAAGCCGCGCGTGACGCTTTTTCATTGCATTGCGAATATTCTAAGTGTTTTTCAAACACTTCACGTAACTTACCCCTCAATTTTTTTTTTCCCCAAGAGGCCCTCCTCTGCCAAACAAAACTAAAAAACTTAAAAACGCCCTGTCCTTGAATCCTGTTCCTTCCATGATCTATGCTTATCGCGGTATCTTTCTTATTTCTCGAGATACTTTCAAATTATGCCCTTGGAGAAACTAAGATTCACAATTGAGACCAGGGCTTTTATTCGCAAAGTAAACACGGAAAAAATCCCCCATTTCTCAAATATAGGGTGGCAACATTTGTACTTTCTCAAGAATGTCAACAGGAACTGAATTAAGATTTTTAAAAGGTAGGACATAAAACATTTAGGGCCGGTTATTTACACGAGGTCTAAGCCAAACCAGGCTTTTAGGCAATCAGTGGGCCATTGACTTACTATGTGAGGGTAGGGCCGGTTATTTACACGAGGTCTAAGCCAAACCATGCTTTTAGGCAATCAGTGGGCCATTGACTTACTATGTGAGGGTAGGGCCGGTTATTTACACGAGGTCTAAGCCAAACCA